GGAGAAATTAGATAAAAAATAAATATAATTCTTAAATAAATGATATTTTTCAAATGAATAAGTTTTTTGTGGAGATTTTCGACAAATATCGCTTGTTATTTTATTTACAAGTTTTATTTAAATACGTTAGTTATATAATTAAAATAGTTCTTTCAAATTCAAATTCTTTTTAAAAAAAATTCAAATTCAAATAATAATATAACTAACAATAAACTTTAAAATCAACATAATAATAACATAATTAAACTTTTAAAAATTTCAATGTTCCTTTTTATAATCTCAATGTTCCTTTTTATTTATAGTAATATGCAAGATTTTTTTAAAAACAGTTTTGTATATTTTTTTGGCTGTTGTGTATGTGAAGTTTGATTATCTATTATGCCAGTGATAAAAAGTGAAGGGGAAGTACAATTTTATCAATCATAAAATACATAAAATACATCCACAACACCGCTATGCATGACAACTTAAAATCATGCCTGTATGGGCAACTCACCTGGTCATAGAGGTGAAAGTTGGAAAGAATAACCAGGATCAAGTCTCATTAGCGATAGTGTGTGAGCAACCTCTCAAAGTGAGGGGGGCTCCTTGTGCGCAGTAAGAAAAGGATGGTTCATGTTCAGTCGATTTACATCCTCCTAGATGCTCTGTCGGGACTTAAAATCATGTGATAATTTATCTTGATCTAATTATTAAGGGAAAAAAAGGGTTATGAACCTCAATTTTTTTATATTTATATTTTTAAATTAATTAGAATGTGTTACTCCAATCAAGAATACAAGCGACTAAAAGTAAAAAATTGAAAAGAAATATATGGCCTTCGTTTGGTAAAATAATTTATGAGCCATTTTTGGCTTGTTTGACCATTATAGTTATTTGACTTGGTTAAATAATAAATTTGACTTGGTCAAATAGTTAATATGAGTGTTTGGTTAATAAGCTTTTCGCTAAAATTAAAAAAAAAAAAAAAACGGTTCAAAATAATTGTTTTCTATAAGCTTTTTGAGAAAATAAGTTATTTTCTTCAAAACACCTCCAATAATTTTTATTTTTATTTTTAAAAAACGATCCTGTGTAGATGGGTTAAACAATCCCGTTTACCAGTTCCATTAATTTTTTTTTTTTTTTTTTTTTTTATAATCAGTTCCATTACGACAAATTATTGTGTGGACCATGGTCCACACAATGTTATATGGACCGTAACAAAAAATACATTTTTAATATACTAAATGTACTTTATTTTTATACTGAATGTACATTATACAATATAATGTATACTCAGTACAAAAATAATGTACATCCCTTGGATATAATGTACATTATTTTTGTACTTTATTTTACAGTATACAAAATATGGTCCACACAATAATGATTGTTCCATTACTCTCATTGTCTCTTCGCGCTACTAGGCAACGAGGTGTTTGAGCCCGTCGAATAGGCTCATAAGCCCGTTGCGGCGTTGCCTAGTACCGTGAAGGTAATTAGCAACATGACATGTGATTACTGATTAGTGTTCACGAGCCTAAGCCGGTGAACATATGTTTAATTTTTATTTTTTTAATATAAATTGTATAATAATAATAATAATAATAATAATAATAATAATAATAATAATAATAATAATAATAATAATAATAATTGTAGATTTATAGGTTAAAATAACATAATACATTCGTACTCTTAAACGCCATTTTACATATAATCAACTATCAACTAATATCTAATTTATCAAATATCTTTCTACAACTAACTAATGTTATTAATTAGTCAAACCCTCTAACCAAATTTACTAACAACCATCAACTAAGTCAATTTGCTATTAATTATCAACTAAGAGTTATATTTCAAACACCCCTATTACTCGAAGTGGCAAATATAACAGTACGTAGATTTTTTAATATAAAAAGTTAAAAAGTTCTACTCGAAATTATCTTAAATTAACAATAATTTTTAATTTTTTTTTTGTACTTGAAAGTGAGAGTGGTCTCAAAAGTGTTCGAGTGAGTCTCAATTAAATCAGTCATGTCTACTCAGGGGACAGAGCTAGAAATTTTGCTGAGAGGGGCGAAGAAGCAGAGATAGATCGATCTATTAATTTTTTCGAGTGAAGGCGAAACATTAAAATAAAAGAGATAATTTAAAAAAAATTACTCAAGAAATATATGTATAAATATTGTTGGATATGAACGAAAAATAAAAAACATCGAAATTTTATTAAAAATATTCATAACAAATATATGAAACATAATTAATTTAATAAAATAATTTGAATAAAGAACACATTATAAATTACACATCTCATTTTTAACATAAAAGAATGTTTTATATATATACACACACACATGTGTGTGTGTGTCATTAAATATTAAAAAAGCTATTAACAACGTGATTGTGTATTTGTATTGAAGCCAAGAGAAATTGTAAAATTATATTAATGCCAATAAAAAATTCAAATTCTAAACCTTCACTATAACTAAACATATACTCTACCAACCAATCTATCTCACTTCTTGTTAATATTTATCTGTTTATTTATACTAATACTAAAACTTATATTATATATACATATATACATACAACTATTATATATGGAGTGGGGGGATGGAGGAGGGGGGCAGCTGCCCCCTGCCTCCTTTGGCTCCGTCCATGTGTCTACTCAAAGTCACAAATATAAGAATAGACACAAAACCTTTTTATATATAAAAGTTGAAAAAAAAAAATTCTACTGAGAATTACCTTAAATTTAATCAATTTTCAATTTTATTTGAAGTAAATTCTTATCAACTTTGAAAAAAGAAAAAATTTCACTTTCAGTTCCTTAACTATTGTACATATATTAAATTTGGTCATTACCTATTAAACTTTTCAAATTAGGTGCTTGTCTATTTAATTTGTAACACATTTGGTTCTTGACTATTAATAATTTCAAAGTAGGTGCATAAATGCATGACTATATAAGTTGTATCACACTTAGTCCTGCAATCCAATTTTTTTGGCAAGTTTCCGGCCAATTATTGTTGGAATTTCAACAAAAAAAAAAAAAAATTCAGGTAATAGTTGACAGAAAATACCTTTTTAATTAGAACATATTATTTTTCTCGTTGAAATTCTAGTAATAGTTGGTCAGAAAATTAGACGACATGACTAAATGTGATACAAATTACATAATCATGCACTTAGTTTAAAAATATTAGTCTCTCTGTCCCATTTTATCCGTCTACTTACTATCCATTAGTCAAATCAATGCTTTCTTATTTGTTTATTTTCTTTAATATTTTTTACTTATTTTTAAATTTGATTTGTTGTGTTTAATAGCACTTTTAGTGTAGTTTCTAAATATATAAATTTTGTATACTAATACTAAACTTAATATTATGAAAAATTAGATTAAAAATAACTTCAATCAAGCCTCGTTAACTGAATTAGACACATAAAGTTGGACAGAAGGAGTAATAGTCAAGGACCAAATGTGATACAAGTTATATAGTCATGTACCTAATTTAAAAATATTGCCCTTTTGGTACACTGTAATTTTGTTGTAAAGGAATTGCAATTCAATGAACATGGTGAATTACATTGTTTGGTTGGAGGGAATTACAATTCTCTCATTTTGTTGAATTTAATATATGTGAGAAAGGAAAAAGAGATGAAATGACACTACTACCCTTGGTTATTATTACTGTTATAATTACACAAAGGTATTTTAGTCTTTATACCACTTATTTCCTTCTCAATTCCAATAATTCTATTTCTCCCTATCAAACAACGTAATTTGAATTCCTACTTTATTCACACCTTATTTTTTTCTCACCAAATTACAATTTCTTTCCTCCATAATTCATTTCTTCTAATCAAACGCTTTTTAATAGTAAATGATTAAATTAGATATATGTATATTAATCAAGGGATCAAAAGTGAAATTGTTTTTTTTAAAAAAAGTTATTTGTACTTAAAAGTGAGAGTTGTCTCCCAAAAGTGACCAACCGAATCTTGATTAAATTAGCCGCATCATCTCGAAGTCGCAAATATAAGAATAAGCTATAAATAAATAAATATATATGTTTCCAAAAAAATACCGGAGTGATATATATATATATATATATATATATATATATATATATATATATATATATATATTAAAAAATTCTACTCAAAATTGTCTTAAATTGAAATCAATTTGTAATTTTATTTGAAGTACATTTTGATTGACTCAATAAAATTACTTATATTTGAAAGTGATAATTATCTCTCAAAAATTTTCAAAAAAAAAATTATCTCTCAAAAAAATCTATTGAGTCTTTGATAAAATTAGTAGTATCTCTTCTCCCACTCTCACCCGGTAGAGCATTGTGGGAAGTTGTAAATCACGTTCAGCAAATAGGGCCAAGGGCCAAATGCCGGTGCGCATAAGGAATCTGCTCACTTTGGGACATAATAATTCCTACACAGTCGGTTGCCGCCGAGGTTCAAACCTTGATCTCTTTTTTCTAATACTGTCTATTAAACTATTGAGCTAAACCCGTGTGAATAAATTAGTAGCATCTCTCCAAATATGGATACGGTATAAAAGTTAAAAAAAAAAAAAAAAAAAAAACAGATTTAATGATGGGGTAAATCAGAAAATCTACCCCAGTATAAAAATTCCACACAAAAGATGCAACGGTCAGGTGGTGGTAAAACGGATACGAAGGGACATCCATGTGCGCCTCACGTGCCCTCAATGTGACTTTCCTGACACTTGGAAAAAAAACCATTAAATTAAAAAAGAAATAAAAATAAAGAAAACAACTCACTACGTTTTTACACTCTGGTCCGTACAACTGCACCAACTCCCTCCAACGGTCATATTTTACCGGCAAGTCTCAACGGTCATATGCTCCTCCAGTCACCACCGTCCGATCTTCATCCGACGGCTGTGGCTACGAGATTCGCCTTCTTTTCTCCCGCACCCTTTTCACCAAACACAGCGGTAAAGAAAGCAGTAAAGCGAGCCCCCAAACCCCAATATATAAAATCTGTTTTCTATTGTGAGTATTGCTTTTTTGGGTAGTGGGGCTTTAGGAAGTCACTTCTTTCAGTTATTTGCTTCTTCTTCTTCCTTGGTCATGGTGATCGTCTTCATGGATTTCATGAGTGCTTGAAGGGGTTTACAGTAAAAGCCTGGGTTTTTTGGGGGGTTTTGGGGGTTTAGAGAGAGAGAGAGAGAGAGCATACTTTTTTTCATCACATGGACTGCTTGTTTACTTGCTCTGGGTATTTCAAGAATTCATTCCTTTGGCTGCATTTTGGGATCAAGAATGTATGTGAGTTCTTATCTCTTGAAAAAACAATTTTTCTTAGCATGAGTTCTCTCTGAAAGTTCAGGAATCCGATGATCTTTTTGTGTTTTTTTTTTTGGGTAGGTCTTGATTGAATGTGTTTACAATAGGGGGTGTTATTAGTTTTAGTTCCAACATTCTTTCCAATTCTTTGATTCTTTGATTTGGCTTGTTCTGTTGATCCTATTCTTTGTTGCACATAAACATATAGGACACACACACAGAGAGAAAAGAAGAAAGCGTATATTTTTGGCATCGGATTCCAGTTTTTGTCAATTTCTTGGGAAATTAATTTTGGCACACACTCACTCACTCACTCACATTAGAGGCATTGCTCTGTTTCTCTTGATATCTCTGTAAAATTTCATACCCAGTAAGTGTATACTGTTACATAGTGTAAAGTGGTAAGAGAGAGAGAGGTGGGTGGGATTGAAGATAGAAAGGAAGAAATTTGGGAGAGGGGGTGAAGAATGTTGGCCGGGTGTTCTTCTTCTACATTGGTTTCACCAAGGCATAGATTGAGGAGCGAAGCATCTGAGCAGTTTCAAGCTTGTCATTTCCCTGCAATAATGAGCACGCAGAGATTGGATTTGCCATGTAATTTTATCCGGAAAGAGAGCTCCAGGGCTCAGTCGGTGAGGCCGGTTGGGCTCTCCGTTGAGAAGCCCGGAGGAGAAGCCAAGACCAGTGGTTGTGGTCTGAAGCAGAACATCCGTCTTCCCCCGACCCCGACCGCCATTCAGACGCCTCGTTTTGAAGGTAAGAGAGAGAGTTGGGAGTGGGAGAAGAAGAGCAGATGCTTGAAGAGGAGTTGTGATGAGGGTTTTGTGAGCAGAGCTAATAAGAGGAAGAAGGGCTGTGGAGAAGAAGAAGAAGAAGATGAAAAAGAAGAAGAAGAAAAGGGTCATCATGGTTTGAGTTTGGGGCATCATAGTGGGGGTTTTTGGTTTCAATCAGGAGTTGTTGGAGGAGAGGAAGAAAGTGTGTGTTTTGTGCCAAGTGAAGTGAGGCCATGGCTGGATTCTGTTGTAACTGAGATCACAGATTTTAGTGACAAGAATGTGGTGGAGACAAGCCAGGGTGGTGGCAAAGAAGCTTCTGGATCAAGCACTTCTTCAGAGGGGGGTAGGGGTGGTGGGAGAGGTTTGCTGCTTAGGCCCCCTCCCACTAGTTCTGACTATGAAATAGGCAATGGTTCTCGCCGCCCGAATCCCAACAACACCGCCGCTTCTCAGGCTGCTGTGGCAGGAGAAACTGAGCCTAACAATGGGGTTGAGCTAATCACCTTGCTGGTGGCTTGTGTTGAGGCAGTGGGCTTAAAGAACTTTGCAGCTGTGAACCATTGCATTGGGAGATTAGGGGAGCTTGCTTCTCCTCGGGGGTTGCCCGTTAGCCGCCTCACCGCCTACTTCACCGAGGCGTTGGCTTTGAGAGTGGCATGGCATTGGCCTCATATCTTCCACATTACCCCTCCAAGAGACCTCGATCGCCCCGGGGGCCTCGATGATGATCATAACAATGGCACTGCATTGAGGCTCTTGAATCAGGTCACCCCAATCCCAAAGTTCATCCAGTTCACATCCAATGAGATTCTCCTCAGAGTTTTCCAAGGAAAGGACAGGGTTCACATCATTGATTTCGACATCAAGCAAGGCCTCCAATGGCCTAGCCTGTTCCAGAGTTTGGCTTCCCGGGCTAATCCCCCGAGTCACATTAGGATCACGGGCATCGGAGAATCGAAGCAAGAACTGCTCGAAACTGGCGATCGACTGGCTGGATTCGCCGAGCAACTCAACCTGGCCTTTGAGTTCCACCCAGTGGTTGATAGGCTAGAAGATGTGAGACTGTGGATGCTCCATGTGAAGGAGGGCGAAAGCGTTGCAGTGAATTGTATGCTCCAGATGCACAAGGTCTTGTACGACACTTCCGGTCGAGCCCTTGTGGATTTCTTGGGCTTGATCCGAAGCACAAACCCGATAGCTGTCGTGATGGCAGAACAAGAAGCCGAGCACGACGAGTCCAGCTTGGAATCGAGGCTTGTAAACTCCTTAAAGTACTACTCCGCTGTCTTCGATTCCCTCGACTCAACCCTGCCACTAGACAGCCCGGTCAGGACCAAGATCGAGGAGATGTTCGCCCGGGAGATCAGGAACATCATTGCCTGCGAGGGACGAGAGAGGCTCGAGAGGCACGCGAGTTTTGGCAAGTGGAGGAAGCTGCTGATGGAGCAAGGGAAGTTTCGGTGCGTGGGGATCACGGAGAGGGAGCTTCTGCAAAGCCAAATGCTGCTTAAGATGCACTCTATGGAGAGCTACAAGGTGGAGAAGCAAGGGGAGGATGATGGACTGACTCTTAGTTGGGAAGACCAGCCACTTTATACAGTCTCAGCATGGACACCTTTTGATATTGCAGGAAGTTCATCTTCTTATTCTCAGCCAACTTGAATCTTAATCACTCACAGGTTTAATATTTTCTTTGTTCAGTATACAGAAGGAAAAAAAAAAGGGTAGCAAATTCTTTTATAGGTAGGGAGATCAGTCAATATTCTTTCATTCTTTACTGCAGATAAGATATTCATCTGATAGGACAAGAACAACAACCTATTTCTGTTTGAATTCTTCTTAGGTTTCTAGTTCCTCAGCAAAAGTGAAAGATTCTTTTTTTGTGTATTGTTCTTTCAATTCTTTTATGTAATATGAAAATTCTTTCTTAGTTCAGTTGTAAGCATTGATTGATTGCCTTTCTTTATTCATCTGTCATTGTATTATTATTTCAATAAAAAGTGATTGCATGCTTCAGTTATCAGTTGTGAAATCCTTTTGTTTTTTTGCCTCTTGTTAAAAGTCCACATTGATAATTGATAAAATAAGAGAGAAAAATAATTGGTTGGATTCAATCTTTTAGTGTGGTTTGAGCCATGTGCATTATAACCCAATCTTAGTTATAACACCTCTGATCAGACAATGAATGATAACCCATTCATTGTTTAGCTAATTGGTTGGATTCAATCTTTTAGTGTGGTTTGAGCCATGTGCATTATTGATAACCCATTATCACTTTTATTGAACAGAAAGATATACAAAAATCACATATTTTTTCTGGTTTTGGGAATCAAGAACAGTGGCTGTTCTTTCTGCAATGTGACACCAAACTTTTCATTCATGTTGAGATCTTTGGGGTTTTTGCCATCTGGGAGGCTCCAATCAAAGGAATGAATCATTGAAGCCAAAACCAAAGGAACAGTTTTTGCAGCCATGGGGAGGCCCGGGCAGATTCTCCTTCCTGCACCAAATGGCAAGAACTCGAAATCGTTCCCTTTGAACTCCAGACCGGTTTCGAGGAACCTCTCGGGCCTAAACTTGAGTGGCTCATCCCAGATCGAAGCATCTCTCTGAACCGCCCAGACGTTTATCAGGATTTGAGCATCTTTCGGGATGGTATAGTTCATCACTTGGCACACTTCAATAGCGCGGTGAGGAAGCAGCAGTGGTGCAGGAGGGTGTAGCCTCAGAGTCTCCTTCACACAGGCTTGGAGATAAGGTAAATGCACCAGATGTGATTCTCTGATGTCTCCTCCATTGATTTCTCTCTTGAGCTCTTTGTACACCTTTTCCATGGATTCTGGACTTTTTATCAGCTCTGCCATTGCCCATTCTATTGTTGAGGTACTAGTGTCTGTCCCAGCAGCAAATAACTCCTACAAGATAGATGACAGATATTAGTATCATATGATCAAACATATATACTGATGAATCCTAGATTGTCATGATTGCATCCAAACCTTTCCTAGTATTATGCTAACATTCTTGCTTCAAACAAGATGACAGATACTAGTTTCATATCCTGTAAGGGTAGTTTAGTTAGTTATTGGGGATAGTTTGTAGGCAATGACACACGATCGAACCTTGACAGTCGCGTTATACTCAATGTGGTGGGCACCTGGTCCTTCCATCTAATGGGCCGCTACGCCCAATATCCCTCCACTATTCTGTTGAGTCAGATGAGAAATTTTTTCTTTTTGTGGGCAAGATTAAGTTTCATATGACCAAATATAGTGATGATCCTAGACTCTCATGATTGCACCAAAACCTTTCCTAGTATTATGCTAAAATGCTTCAAAAACTTGTGGATAAAGACATAAGATCGAACCCTAACAGCTGCGTTGCGCCCATGGTTGCAGTAGGCGCTAGGCGCTAGTCGGGCGGAATCTAGGTGGCGCTAGGCGAGCACCAAAAAAATTAAAAAAAATAGTGACAGATTTGTAGTTTGACAATTTTAATGAGGTTGTTTTCAACATTCAATCAAATAACACATCTAAATAAATGAAATAATGATAATTTATAAGTCATAACGTCATAATAATATTAAAATCAATAATTAATGAAAGGCGACATTGGTCAAAATCAGACAAAATCAGACAAAATTGGTCAAAATCGGTCGACTCGGCCGAGTCGATCGCCAGGCCGAGTTTGGCCGCCCAGGCGGCCTGCCGAGTTTTGGCCGCCTTTAGGCCAAAACGGCAAGGCTCGGTGCTGCCTAGCGCCTAGGCGCTTAGGTGGCCGAGTTTTGCAACCATGGTTGCATCTAATGTGGTAGGCTCCTTGTGGGCACCAGATACTGGTCCTCCCACCTATAGGCCGTCACATCTAAAATAGTGGGCTCCTAGATTGCTGCGTCACGGGGTGATTTACCCCTCTACTATTTTGTCGGACAAGGTGTGGGAAAAGATATTAGTTTCATATGACCAAACATACTGATGATCCTAGATCATTCCTAGTATTATGCTAACAGGAGATCAGAACACTAACCATGAATAACTGGTGGATTCTTTCATTGGAAAAGCCCTTATCAAGAAGAGTATCCAAGAAATCTTGGTGGCTGGAACCACCACTACTACATCTGACTTCTCTTCTTTCTTCAATTATAGGCTCCCACATAGATCTAATCCTCATACCCAATCCCAGTGCCCTTTTCCTCAGACCTTGGGGGTCTAACCTCTGCAGAAAAGGGTAAAAATCAGAGAGATTTGGAGCAGAAGCAACCTCCATAACACTCCTGATAAGCCCTTTCATCACCCCATCGCCCTCAAATCTGATCACATCTCTGGATAGCATCACATTACTCAACATGTTCAGCACAGTTGCAAACACCATCTCCCCAACATCCACTCCTTCTTCACTGCCCACTTTTGACCTCAAGAACCCCACCATTTCTCCTGCTTTCTTCTCCCTCAGGAGGGCCTGAGACTCCAGAGCTCTGCTGCAGAACATCTCGGCCCTGCACAGGGCGCGAAGGGAGCGCCACCCCTCGTGGCACTCGGAGGTCCAGCCGATGGATGTGTGGTCGAGTTGTGAGGTTTCTGTGGGGAAGGCATGGGGGACATGGCGGCCTGAGAGGAGCCGGTCATGGGTTTTCAAGATTTCTGATGCGACGGAGGGGGAGGATCCAACAACGAGGTGCTGGGTTCCGAGCTTGAGGGAGATGAGAGGGCCATAAGTGTTGGCGAAAGTTGTGAGGGTTATGTGTGTTTTTTTCCCCAGGTGGAAGATGTTGCCCAGGAGTGGCCATGGAGTTGGGCCTGGTGGGAGGTGAAGGGGTTTTGATGGTTTCAGAAAGAGCTTGAAGATGATGATGGTGAGAACAAGTAAAGGTAAGATAATGGAAAAGGGAAGCAGATGAAGAAGAAGAGGAAATGGTCTTTCTGATTCATTAAGGTGTGCCATGGTTACCATAGTTTGGATCACAAGTGATCATGGTAATTAAAGCATCATGCCACAATTTCCTTAGTCAAAATAGAGGTGCTCCTTGCTGCAATGAGCTTGTCTAGCATCTATTTGATAAGTTGAATCACTATAATTTACCATTCCAGAATCTTGTTGGGGCACGGCGAAAGAATGTCTTGGGTGGACGATTTCACCTTTATGTCACAAGAAATCCCTCAACATGCCCGCACAGATTTAACTCACTACGTCAGTAGGCAGTATTTGAGAAAAAAATACCAGTAATTAAGGCAGTATTTGAAAAAAAAATACCAATGTTCGAACATTAATCACGACTGTGTAGAATTATGTCCAAAGTAGGTGCGCACCAACATTCACAAATTAACTCAGAAGTCTAGACACATTTCATTGGCAAATTATACTACGGATCATTCCAACATTAAAAGGTGAACCATTTTTATAGATACTAAATAAGTAAATATGAATATGTAATACACTACAGATACATATTTAATATATTAAAAATAAATATACATGTCAGTGGTTCATTTTACAATATAAATCATAACCCACCGTATAATGACTGAGTCTTAAGAGATAAACCTAAACATTGGAACTCAATTAAAGAATTATATAATGGACGAAGTTTCATTACCTCAAGAGATTAACCTAAACATTATAACTCAATTAAATAATTAAATATGTTTTATTGCCTTTGGAGTCAACATTACTTAAAAGAAAAAAAATATTATTAAAGGAAATGAGGACAAGTGGAGACAATATCTTATCCCGGCAACATTTTCTCTCTCTCACATGCTGTAGCAATCCTTGTCTGCCCTTTTTGTTTTTTATTTTGGCTTCATCTTCATCCATCCAAGATCATCATTAATGGCTTCCAAGAATTCAACCATATACAATTAACCCCATACCAAAATAGCAAATTCCGTTTTGGCTTGAAAACAAAAAAGAACTCGTAATTTTTTAATTTCTTTCAACCGACATTAAAATCTTGTTTTTTTTTTTTTTTTGAATGCTAAAATCTTGTGTTTAATTTTATCATTCTATTTAAGTTAGAGACTTGATTAAATTGTTGTTAATTGGGTTTGAGTGCCTACTCCTGGTACCCCTAATCCAAAATCCAACATAAAGAACGAAATTTAATTAAAAAAAAATAAATGAAAATTTCATATTATATTGTTTGGTTAATAGAAAATATGAAAAAAATAATAATCTGTAAATTGAAATATCTATTGTATCCAAATAATAATAATTATTATTATTTTCATATTTTAAGAATTAAAATTTCAAGAGAAACTTTCCTATCAACTTGAGAATTTATGATTTCAAATGCAGTGTTAATACTACTGAATATCTAAAAACATAATAAGCTTCAATTCAGGTTATACCCCTGGTTTATGTCCATGTTTTCCGTTAATTTTTTTGTATCTTGTGCTATAAAAGCTGTACTACATAATTTTTTGGACAAAAATATTCCTGCCGTTATAACTTCTGTTATCTTTCCACATTATTATTACCATGTACATGCATACACAATATTTTTTCTTACATTCTTCAATGGTAAGTTTGAATTCATTTAGGTTTTAATTAAAATGTTACCATTGTTATATTTAGTAAATTATCATTTCTATAATATATAAACATAAATGTATAATTCAACTATCAACTTAGACTTTTAGTACCAAATGGCTTGTGGTCCACTGATATCCGGTTGCTCCCTTGTAGGCGTAAATGGCGTAGATTGTGTGGGTATCCCCATCCTTTGTAATAAAAAAAAAACTTAGACTTTTAGTTGAAACAGAACACATCATTCATTATCATAATAACATATTAAGATTTGGAGTGTACACAAGTGTTAGAAAACTATTCGCTGTAAATTGTATGCATTTTTTATTTGTATCTTTCTTGTATAGTTTTCTTAATCAATTGACAAATGAAAAGACATTACCAGTCATTATCATTGGATTATGCACCATGATTTTCTTAGGGTTGTAATTTGATTACTTTATGGTTATGATTGATTCTAGAAGGAGGTAGGAGATGACTAGGTCGATATTATATTATGGACTCTATCTCAAGCAATATTGTTTTGTTTAATTAGCAAAAAATTTTCCTACCCGTTTGGTTAACATTCACTATTCACTTTTGCAGGAGGTGGTAAATAATCGGTTAACTATAAATGTATTATGTCAAGTAATTCTAACATTATTCTAAATTTATAATATGTGGGTTGTAAGTAAATAAATTTAAAGATAAAAATTCATAAATTAGTGTTTGACATATATATATAATCATGATTATTGTATGTATAGTTTATTTAATTGTAAATTAATAAATTTTTATTATGAACTTAATGTATTGATTTTATAAGCTTATAATTAATAGATTATATACATGTAATACTAATGATATCTTTTATTGCGCGAAAAAAAAAAAAACAGCGCCACTAAAAGCACTGTTTATGTAAGTCGAAACAACATCATTTGGAATAATGTTCACATTGCAATGTGAACCTAACCTTAGTCCATGATATAATGACTGAGAGATGACATATTTGACTGACTAAATTTATTAACTCGATCACATAATTATTTGTAACCCATTATTTAATTTTGTGATAAATATTTCACTTGTTTCATATTTATTGAATATCACAACTAATAATAAATATTTAAATATAAAATATTTTTCACACAAAAAATTAGTAGATGGATAGATTATAGTTTTCATTATTATCCTTCAATAAAGACTTGTGGTCCACTTATATATTATCCTTTAATGTGTTTATTTACATATTTTTCCAATTCCAAAATAAGTCACTGGTACTGCTTTCTAAAACCCTAATTATTCATTCATATACAATATTGTTCAATATTAATATGTAATCTTTAATTATGGGATATCTGCGTTGTTATATTACCCAATGTGAATATGTGATTTTTAAATCCATTGTACCGTGTATGCTGCTCACTTCATGCCATTAGACCACAAGATCATTAGCATATCTACATATATTTATTTACAACAATTTACATATTTTTCTAATTCCAAACTAAAATATGGATAATGAAAAATTAAAAAAATCAAAAATTAGAATAAACGCAGTCAAAATGTCAAATTAAAATATATGTTACATTTCAAAAACAAATTAAACTAATTACTGGAGGTATGACTTTTGTGGATGTTAAAAAAAAAAAAGAGCACATTATTGTTAAATGAAACTATAGTATAATTAAAATGATATTTTAGTGTTGCTATAATGAAACTAGTGTGCGTGAAAAATAAAACTAAAATCCAGAGCCATACAATAACATATATTATAAAATGAACCTGTGGTGTAATTAAAATAATACTTCAGCATTACTATAATTAAATTAGTATTTGTGGAAAATGAAACAAAAAAAAATAGAGTTCATGAAATAATGTATTTTGTCAAATGGAATTGCAGTAGAATTAAAATGGTACTTTGGTATTACTATAATGAAACTAGTGTGTATGAAAATGAAACTAAAAAACATAGTAATATTGTCAAATAAAACTGAAGTGTCGATGCCGCGCTCGATCAAACCAACAAAAGGATGGGGTTCAGATTTGTTTTGCGTGATTCTTCAGGCCATTTCATTGCTGCCAAAAGTCTCCCATGGTCAAGTGTATGCAGACCGAACGAAGCTGAAGCCATTGGCGTTCGCGAAGCGTTGAGGTGGATTAAGGATCTTCATTTTGATAACTGCCAGATCGAAAGTGACTCCTTCCAAGTTATTAATGGCATTTTGCATGATCATAGTTTATTTTCTTCTTTTGATCTCATCTTGAATGACATTAGAAAACTAGTACTGTTTTTGTTAAGGTTAGCTTTTTATTTGTAAAACGGTCTACGAATAGGGTTGCCCACTTGTTAGCTCGGGTAGCCCTTTCAATGTCTGACTGTATGGACTGTTCTTTGGTTTCCTTTCCATCCATTGTTCGTGTTTTGAGCTTGGACCTCACTGAATGAATTTTTCTCTTTTGATTTTCAAAATAATAATAATAATAATAATAATAATAATAATAATAATAATAATAATAATAATAATGAAACTGAAGTGTAATTCAAATGGTACATACTTCATGTTAGGATCGATACGGGTTCACAACACCAAATTATAATAGCAACTTGATCTGGAAATATTGAGAATATTTCTAGTGTAAGATTTAAAATAAATCATACACAAAATAAGGCAATTTGAAGAAGAATTTTCTGTATTGGCAAAATGATATTACAATAGGAATTACAAATATAACTCTCTATCTCTCTCTAAAGACTATGCTACTGTGATGGGATAATTTACAATGAAAGGAGTTCCCTTTTTATAGCAAACCCAATGCCTAAAGAATTGCAAGACATTTAATGCAACATTAAATGCAATTCTTCTCCTGCAAGTAATTTTCCTTGCTCAAAACCTTAACCCAAGCTTTTTCCATTTCTCAAACCTTAGCCCAAGCCTTTCCCTTTAGGATAAACCTTTGCCCAAGCAATTCCCTTTAAGAGAAACCTTTGCCCAAGCAATTCCCTTTAGGCAAATCTTTGCCCAAACAATTCCCTGCAGGAGAAACCTTTGCCCAAGCAATTCCCTTTAAGAGAAACCTTTGCCCAAGCAATTCCCTTTAGGCAAACCTTTGCCCAAACAATTCCCTGCAGGAGAACCTTTGCCCAAGCAATTCCCTTTACTCAAATCTTTTCCCAAGCAATTGCTCCTCCAAAACCTTAGCCCAAACATTAGCTCCTACATTTGACTTTATTCTTTACAAATCTCACACTTAAAGTCACAATGTGGATCTTCATCCTTTTGCCAATTCCCTACTGCTTGCATACTTGTTAGGCCAATTGAGGATCTACACCATACGAATTTATCGTTGGTAATAGGCTTTGTTAACATATCTGCCAGGTTATCTTTAGTATGGATCTTCTGTATATCCACACTTCCTTCTTCCACCTTTTCACGAACAAAGTGATACTGAACTCGTATGTGTTTCATCTTGGAATGAAATGCTGGATTCTTTGTCAAGTACAAAGTGCTCTGATTGTCACAGAATAGAGTCATTTTCTCTAACTTGTGCCTGAGCTCCTCCAATAGCATTTGCAACCATATTGCCTCTTTACTAGCTTGAGTAGTAGCAATATATTCTGCTTCCGTCGTTGAAGTTGTCACAACCGACTGTAACTTCGAGACCCAGCTTACTACTCCGCCAGCAAGAGTAAACACATAACCCGTGGTGGATTTACTACAATCAAGATTACCTACATAATCTGAATCAACATAGTCTTTAATAATGAAGTCTAATCCTCCATAACACAATGGAATATCTGAGGTACCCTTGATATATCTAAGGATCCTCTTCACAGCACTCCAATGCTCTTTACCTGGATTTGACATGTATCGACTGACCGCTCCCACTACTTGTGCAATGTCTGGTCTAGTGCAAATCATAGCAAACATTAAACTGCCCACTACTGATGAATACGGTACTCGAGACATTTCCATCCTCTCTGCTTCGTTGCTAGGACTTATACTTGATGATAACTTGAAATTAATAAAAAGAGGGGTAGAAATTGGCTTACAATCTTGCATGTTGAAGCGCCGCAATATTTTCTTCAGATAATTCTGTTGAGAGAGCCAAATCTTCCTATTATTTCTGTCTCGGTGGATTTGCATCCCTAGAATCTTGTTTGCTGGTCCCAAGTCCTTCATTTAAAATTCCCTAGCCAGTTGAGCCTTCATCTCTGTGATACGATCATTGTTGGGGCCTACTACCAACATGTCGTCAACATACAACAGCAAAATGATACACTGATTATCATCAAATATCTTGCAATATGCACAAGGATCTGAGTTAAATCTATTGTATCCAAGGCTCAGAATGAATGAATCAAATCTCTTATACCAACATCTCGGCGCCTGTTTGAGACCGTATAGAGATTTGTTTAACCTGCAAACCAAGTTCTTTTTTTTTCTTCTTCTTCAAAACCTTCTGGTTGGAGCATGTAAATCTCTTCTTCAAGTTCTCCATGTAAAAATGCAGTTTTCACATCCAACTGCTCAAGATACAAGTCAAACACATCACACATCGCTAAGAATGCTCTGATTGTTGTAAGTCGTACAATAGGAGAAAATATCTCATTGAAATCAACTCCTTCTTTCTGAGCAGATCCTTTTACAACTAATCGAGAGCACGATACCGTTCGACTTGATTATTGCTATCTCGTTTGATCTTATAGACCCATTTATTCCCAATAGCCTTCCTTCTTTGTGATAACGAGACAAGTTCCCATGTTTTATTCTTATGGAGAGCTTCAATTTCTTCTTGCATTTCTGTCATCCACAAAGATGCATCTGGATATTTCATAACCTCATAGTAAGTTAATGGCTCACCATCTTCTGTTAGTAGACGATATGCAACATTTCCCTCCATTGAAGAATCTGAGTGCCAAGATGGTTGTCTCCTCTCCCGAGTTGATCGTCGAACTTTTGAAGTTGAAAACTCAGCTTGATCTTGTTCATCATGCACTATTGTTGCTTCAGAAGAAACTGGAATTTCTTCTTTCCTTCCTTCCCTCAACTTGTACTGTTGCTGTCATTGGTTTCTCCTTCCCAGTGCTTTCACTTTCTTGTACCTTGTCTTCTATAAATACAGCTGTTGGTGATAATGAACCAAAAATTGATTTAATATCGTAAAATAATATTTATATATACACACACGAAAGTATATAAAATATTATTCGATATATATATCTGAAATATATATATACACACAAATATATATATATATATATATATATATATATATATATATATATATATATATATATATATATATATATATAAATCAGACCACCATGGTTATATGCATGAATATCTACGGAAAAGATATATACATATCAACCAAATGGAATTTATAATTCACAGATTATAATTCCAACCAAACTATATCAAAAAAGGGAGGATTTTTGCTTAGAAGCATAATCCAAAATCGAAAGAAGGAAAAGATGGCTCGTGTTTGGGTAAGGGTTTTTAGCGTGAGTCAAGAGACCACTCTTTCCTTAACACCTTATTTGCCACCTCCCACAAGTGCTAGGAGCGTTGTGGCCTAGGTTTCCCAGGATAAAACGCGCTACAGTTCGACGTTTGAGAAGCCAAACGAGCGAACCCGACAAACTAGAGCAAAGGCTTGAACACAGCTAGGCAAAGAAAGGAAGAGAAGCAGAGTTTTTGAAGCTGAAAAGTATGATTTCGTGTTGTGTGTTCTGCCACTTCGTGCTTGGAAAATCTGCTCCCTCTACCCCTTCTTATATAGGGATCAAAGAATGAATAGCATTCATCATGGAATTTAAATTGGTATTAAAACCAATTTTATAACTCCTGAAACAACATGTCCATTATCTAAGATTTAAATTCAAATATTAAAAAATAGAATTAATAGAGGATTTAATTCTGTAATTGTTGAATTTAATCTTACAACGGTCTGAAAGCAGAAGGTAGAATAGCCTGTTGCTGGTTCGGCCCCCAAGGCCGAACCCATGTTGTCCCATGTTTCGGCCACAGCCGAAACATCAGTTTCGGCCGCAGCCGAAACAACGACAGCCGAAACAAGTTTCGGCCACACAAGGCCGAAACCACAATGCCATGTAACAAGTTTCGGCCACACAAGGCCGAAACAACACATCTCTCCAATGGCTTTAGTGTGTTGGAAAATGATACCGAAAGTTGGCATAACTTAGCCCGCAAGGCCAGCCAATTTCCGGACGACATTCCTGCCCGCAGGTGCCGGCGCACACGAGCTCGGGCTTGAATCAAGCCTCTCCGATCTCGTTTTAGTTGGAATTTGATTTGCACCCCCACACCCCCCGCACGCGCGCGCGAGAAAGCCTCTATGCTATACAATTCTACAAGCTCTAAAAAAGCTCTTGTATAAAAGGGGGGGTCAAATCCTCTTTCCAAACAAATGTGGGACAAAAAGCTCACTTTTTCCCTTCATTTTCCAACTCAAGTGGGTCTACTTTGAGAATCAATATCTCATTCACCCATTATCCGTTTTGAGCGTACAATATATCAATCTCTTCGTCTCACTACGAAGAACCCGAATCCACTTTGACCCGACCCAAATCGGAAGTGGACCCCACTGATAATTGTACCACAAAATAGCCACTTAAAATGCCATTTTAATGTTATTTTTCCAACAATCCCCCACATGAATGAAAAATTGATTTTCGGGGTATTTTGAAATCGGAAACAACTGTGTTCAAATGGTCGATCCCTGCATAGGATAGGTAGGGAGTCACTATACCCTTTGAACCTTCCCTTGTGAAGAAATGTTTACTCTACTGGCTGTTCGGTAGAACGCGATGTCTTTGAACCGACTGCCGTTTGTGTAGACGATGACATATCTCACACAGGAACCTCCCAACCATGCTCTGTTCTCATGAGTGTGCCTATTTTGGTCGTGGGTCACCGTTCCTGGTTCTACGAGAGTTTCTAAAGAATTGTGCCCAACAATTCTCCTTTGAAGCGACCCTCACTTCTCTCTTACATAGGTGATTCTTTCTCGAGTATCCCGCATACTCAAGAATCATTAAAGCATCAACATGCTAGCCTTGTGCGGGAGTCACTATTTCTTACGAGGAGTGGTAGGGAGTCCGAGACCCCCCACAGTGACACGCTCCGTTCCATAATTTAGTTGTCCCATTGAATCTAGGTGCCAGCTAGGTTGAGTATCCACTATAGAACTTTTAGTCCAAGGGCTTTAGACACATTCCTCGTTCCAACTTCTCAACAACCATTTGCTTACCCTCAGGTTCGCGAGTTAGCGGCCGCTATGTTATCTTTTGACATCACATAGTCAATAGAGATAACCCCCGTTGTGAGAAATTGTTTAATGGTATTACGTCTTCGACTTATAAGTCTAGACTTACCATTCCACATCTAACTCTGAACTTAACCAATTTTGGCTTGACTATCGCAATGCACACAAATTGGAGGTACGAGTTCACCACTAGGAACATACTCAAAATAATGGCATAGGCATTTGGCCTACTCGCTCGCGACACGAGTGTAAGGCTCTCAGCTTAGATCCCGTCGGATCTTAGCTATCACAAATCATTTCGAGAATTTCCATCCAACCGACTGCACTGGCCTACGTAAAGACGTAGCCTTTGATGGACTTAGCGTCCTTTGATATCCCGTTAACGTGCTATACTTTCCAAGTACAGCTAGATATCCCACGTAGTGCAGTCCAAAGTCACGAGCATACCTTAAGTATCTCACAACTCTCACTATTGCCTTCTAGTGCGCATCACTAGGGTTACTCGGATGTCTACCAAGTTCGTTAACCGCAAAGGCAATATCTGGCCTAGTACAACCCATTTGATACAATTAAACTACCGATAATCTGAATGTATTCTCCGTGAGAAGTACAATCTCCGTGATTATTGGCTAGTTGTACGTTAGTATCTAACGGTGTCCGAGCCACTAGATTATCATCCTTTACAAGGATTCAATCAAACTTAATGAGATTGGCTTAACACGAGACCATACGGTCTTCTCATGATTTTAATCTCGAAGATTAAATCTGCCAAACTCACACCTCTCATGTCAAATCTCAAATTTGACATGTTCCTGGTAGAATTGATCATTCGATCGTTGCTACCCACGTTGAGTTTATCGTGTATAAACAAATAGTGATATCACCGTCTATCTTACGTAAAACGTAGACACACTTTCATTTTCGTTTATACCAAACTCGTTGGTCATCATTGTATGATCAAACTCTCATGCCAAACACTAAGGCAATTGTTTGAACTAGACAATAATCTCACCACTTACACACTTTCTTTTCACATCGTGGAACCACAAACCCTCAGGTCGTTCCATGTCTACTAAGAAAGCGACACATCCATTTTAATGAACTTCCAAGTCTCGCTAAACGGCTTTGGCAAGTATCATTCTAATGGATTCCATTCTCATCACACGGGAATGTATATCGAAGTAACCGTGGCACTCGCGTTGTATGTAATCTACAATTACAAGCCCGACCATTTTACTTCAATATAACCAACCGGTTTTATCTTCCAGCTAGTGATCCACTTAGGATCCCGAGGTCTTACGACCTGGAGGAAGAACAACCAGTTCCAAGTATGATTCTCTAAGATAGAATCTACTTCACTCTCGATAGCCTCTCTCGGGTTGGTCCACATGTAGAAGTCACCACTTCTACATACGTTCGAGGCTCATTTTCTAACAACCATGTCAGAAAATCCGGTTTATTTTCTAGTAAACAAGTTAGAATATGCGCATCACATTCTAGTATGTTTGTTAGAAATCTGGACCAAAGGATTTTTCAATCCTAGCTCTCTTGCTACGTCTAGCTTCGAGCTCGGGTTATCTTTCACACCCTTCAACCATAGCTACGCCGAAAGTTCCTTTCAACGTGCTAGGTCCTTTATTGATCCTTCACAAAAAATACATCTTCCAAGAACGATGAATTTCTTGAATCAATCTTTCGTGTTATTATGTACATCCAAATTCTTGGACTCGTGTACTAAGAACCAATACACACCTTTGGCAAGACACCCCCACATTTCAGGCATTAGTAGGAAAACTTCCTACGTACCTATAATTCGTAAGAATTCCATGCGGGTAACCTTATTTAAAATGTACTTACTTGTCCAAAGTATTGTCTCACCCCACATACCTTGAGGTAGACCCGAACTTATCAACGTCTTGATATTTATGTTCGGCAACAACGTTCGATTGAGGTGAATACCGTGTCGTGCGCTCGAGTACGATACCAACGCTTTCGCAGAAATCACCAATAGGTGTTTCATATTTGCTACATCGATCGTTAGTAACCGCATTAATCCACAATTAATTTGGTTATCCTTTTATTCTTATAAAGAATAAACATGTGCTTCACGTCAGCACATCTCGTAGAAGCTAACAGATTAGCCTTTACAAATCCATTTGGTTTTAACCGTAAGGCCACAAACCCGAATCAGTGCTTCCGAAATTGAAGCACGAATCAATGCTTAGTAGTGAAGCACGAAACATGCTACACAGAGCACGAATCACTGCTGCCAAACTAACACACCGATTCCAAAGCAATCTCTATTGCTTTAAATTATAAACTCACAGCAACATCGATCGGTTGCTTAATTTATAATTCTAGTGCTACTTAGCACTAGGATTACTAGTTAATTACACAATTAACCAAACCTCCTTTCGTGCTGATCACATAGCATTTTTACAATGCTAAATTTAATTAGCCACATATGAAAGGTTTAAGCTAAGTAGATTAGCATTAAGAACAATCATAATCTAGCACCTTTATTGCTATTACCAAAGCACCAAGTGCTTAAGTTTTCAACACCTAAAGGTGCAGCCACCAAGTGGCCGAAAGTGCCTAATTAAGCACTCTACCTAGTGCTTAATAGCACTGTTACAGTGTTTTAATTTGCACTTCAAAGTGCCAAATTAAATTGCACTTTCCATTAGTGCTACAAAAACACTATTCACCAAAACACAATTTGTCTCAAATTAAATATACTAGTATAATTTTGAATTTTTGATCAAGTTATTATCACACAATTAACGAGAACAAATCAACCAAATTTTCTGACTAGTTGAATCAAGCTTATATAATCGTTCTCAGAATATTAATTAAAATATTCAACAATTGAGCTGTGACGCTCACGATTATATAGCTATCCCAATTTTTGACAAATTGATTATTGAAATCCTTATGGTTCTACATGAACCAGAACCAAAGTTCACTACGGGATTTCAGCATGTAACACGCTTGTTACATTTCATTCCGGCCATTAAGTCATTTTAGCATTTTCCACATAATGCTTCGTGATGCATTACGCACTCATATTGAATCATTTTATACATTTGACATTATTCTTACAAATAATTCATATGTACTATGATTCAATAGCTCAATGGAACAATTCATTTTTTATTCAACAATAAAAAATGTATCACAAGGATACTACAATATTTATTTAACAAATAAATAAATAGGAAAAATTACATTGGAAACCAATTTCCATTATTCCTATGTAGTAGTCCTTCGAACCCGTGTGCCTTGTTCCATTCTCAACCGTCCACTCCACAAAGGGTGGTCCATAGCGCACATCGGGGGTACCTCGGTTGTGACCTCACTCGTCCAACCATCCACATGTTTTAAACATAGCGAAGTTGTCTTCAACCTTTTCACCAGGATGACGGTTCTCTTTGTAGTGGCATTTCTCCTTCTTTCCAGAATCTTCTTGAAAGCTAAGCTTCCGCTTAAGTTTCCTTTGATTACGGTTGAAGTCATTGGTCACACTACCATAGTCCTCAGACCATGTAGTGGTCACACCATCATAGGATCCTTCGTGGCTTTTAGCCGATCCACTAGGCAACACAATAGGTACCAATTGTGTGCCACGAGCCACAGGTCTACCGGTTCGTGAACCAACGTTCTCCGGAGCACCATCGTGTGTTTTTGCAACTCCTATGGAAATCTTATTTCCAACGTTGCCGCCGTCAACCGGTATCACGGAATGTGCAACGTCGTTGCCGTTCTGACCATTTGAATGTGCACTACGAGCAACATTCACGGATCCAATACTCTTGGAATCCATCGACTTGTTCATTATCAAAAAAAATAAGGTTTTAAGATTGTTGATGATAATGAACCAAAAATCGATTTAATATCGTAAAATAATATTTATATATACACACACGAAAGTATATAAAATATTATTCGATATATATATCCGAAATATATATATATATATATATATATATATATATATATATATATATATATATATATATATATATATATATATATATATATATATATATATATATATATATAAATCAGACCACCATGGTTATATGCATGAATATCTACGGAAAAGATATATACATATCAACCAAATGGAATTTATAATTCACAGATTATAATTCCAACCAAACTATATCAAAAAAGGAGGATTTTTTGCTTAGAAGCATAATCCAAAACCGAAAGAAGGAAAAGATGGCTTGTGTTTGGGTAAGGGTTTTTAGCGTGAGTCAAGAGACCACTCTTTCCTTAAAACCTTATTTGCCACCTCCCACAAGTGCTAGGAGCGTCGTGGCCTAGGTTTCCCAGGATAAAACGCGCTACAGTTTGACGTTTGAGAAGCCAAACGAGCGAACCCGACAAACTAGAGCAAAGGCTTGAACACAGCTAGGCAAAGAAAGGAGGAGAAGCAGAGTTTTTGAAGCTGAAAAGTATGATTTCGTGTTGTGTGTTCTGCCACTTCGTGCTTGGAAAATCTGCTCCCTCTACCCCTTCTTATATAGGGATCAAAGAATGAATAGCATTCATCATGGAATTTAAATTGGTATTAAAACCAATTTTATAACTCCTGAAACAACATGGCCATTATCTAAGATTTAAATTCAAATATTAAAAAATAGAATTAATAGAGGATTTAATTCTGTAACTGTTGAATTTAATCTTACAACGGTCTGAAAGCAGAAGGCAGAATAGCCTGTTGCTGGTTCAGCCCCTAAGGCCGAACCCATGTTGTCCCAGGTTTTGGCCGCAGCCGAAACAACCCACAGCCGAAACAAGTTTCGGCCACACAAGGCCGAAACCACAATGCCATGTAACAAGTTTCGGCCACACAAGGCCGAAACAACACATCTCTCCAATGGCTATAGTGTGTTGGAAAATGATACCGAAAGTTGGCATAACTTAGCCCGCAAGGCCAGCCAATTTCCAGACGACATTCGTGCCCGCAGGTGCCGGCGCACACGAGCTCGGGCTTGAATCAAGCCTCTCCGATCTCGTTTCTAGTTGGAATTTGATTTGCTCCCCCCCCCCCCCCCCCTCCCGCGCGAGAGAGCCTCTATGCTATACAATTCTACACGCTCTAAAAAAGCTCTTGTATAAAAGGGGGGGGGGGGGGGTCAAATCCTCTTTCCAAACCAATGTGGGATAAAAAGCCACTTTTTCCCTTCATTTTCCAACTCAAGTGGGTCTACTTTGAGAATCAATATCTCATTCACGCATTATCCGTTTTGAGCGTACAATATATCAATCTCTTCGTCTCACTACGAAGAACCCGAATCCACTTTGACCCGACCCAAATCGGAAGTGGACCTCACTGATAATTATACCACAAAATAGCCACTTAAAATGTCATTTTAATGTTATTTTTCCAACAACAGCATCCCTGTTAATGATAACCTTGTGGGCAATGGGATCCCACATGCGATACCCCTTCACTTCATCAGCATACCCCAAGAAAACACATTCTCTTGATTTTGAATCAAGTTTTGATGTTTCTTGAGTGTTGTATATCACATATGCCGGACTCCCAAATGTATGTAAGTGTGAATAACTTGATGGCTTACCAGTTCACATTTCCATTGGCGTTTTCAGATCAATTGCGATTGATGGTGACCGATTGATCACATAACAGGCAGTTTTGACTGCTTCTGCCCAAAATGGATTTGCCAAATTTGTAGTCCTCAACATTGCCCTTGTTCAATAAGGTTTTGTCATCCGCTCTGCCACTCCATTTTGTTGTAGAGTATATGCCACCGTGAACTGCTATTTGATACCTTCTTGTAAGTAGAATTTATCAAATTCATCACTAGTATATTTTCCTCCATTATCCGACCTCAAATACTTGATCATTTTCTAGGATTCAAGTTCCACATGCGCTTTGAAGATTTTGAAAACTTCTAATACATCCGCCTTCCGCTTGATTGGATACACCCAACATCTCCTGGAGTAGTCGTCGATGAAGGATACAAAATATTTTGCACCTCCTAGGGATATAACTGGTGCTTGCCAAACATCGGACTAGATTAGCTCCAAGATAGCTTTGCTTCTTGCTTTAGAGCTCTCGAACTTCAATCTATGCTGCTTACTTGTAACACAATGCTCACAAAAAGGTAATGATACCCTTTTTAGCCGTGGAAGAAGATGTTGATCAGTAAGAATCTTTAGACCTCGATCTGTCATGTGGCCAAGTTTTTGATGCCACATCATCGTTGATTCCTCTAGAAGATTGTCTGATGCAACAACTGCTTCTCCTTTAAGCATGTATAGATTGGCCGCTATCTTTTTAGCTTTCATCACAACAAGCGCACCCTTGCTTACTTTGATGATCCCATCTTGAATGTGAATTTTACATTCACAGCTATCTAATTGTCCTAGAGACAATAGATTTTTCTTCAGGCCTTTCACATGTCGTACCTCTTGGATAGAACGTGCAAACCGTACCATCAAACATTTTTAGTTTAATAGTACCAATACCAGCAATCTCTAAGGCATGATCATCTCCCATGAACACTGATCCTCCAAAGACAGGTTCATATTTATGAAACCATTCTTTCCGTGAGGTCATATGCCATGCTGCTCCTAAGTTCATGAGCGAGACATCAACTAAACTTTTCCTGCCTTCAACAATTGTTGCTGCTTCACCAAATAAAACTTCACCTCCATCCGATGTACTCACAACACAACCTTGAGTGTATGTATATATATATATATGTACATATATGTATATATACATGAACTTTTCAACATGTACATATATGTATATATACATGAACTTTTCAACATGTTCTTGTTTGAACGTCAAGTGTATATACGGGTATCCTAATATATTAATTCATCACAAATTTTCAGTGAATACATCGCATATGAAAAGTAAAATTGTTTTTAAAGACCAATGAAAAAAATAAAAAAATTCAACGTGTGTGTGTGTGTGTGTGTGTGTGTATATATATATAATGGCGAACCTACAATGGGGGCAGCTGACCCCTCCCTAATTTAAGGCTTTTATATAATATAAATATAGAAAGTGCTAAAGGTTTTAGTAGCTTAGTTGGTAGAAACCTTAGGTTGTTTATGGTAGGTCATTGGATCAATTCCCACTAGTTGTGTATTTATATTTTTTAAGTCTACTTTTTTGTGAATCATTTAGTTAATGTAGTCCGCAAGTTTATATTATACTTCATTGTATTCGAATTAATTTAGAAAAATTAAAAGTTGATATAACTAAAAGAAACTTAAAATTAAAGTATTTAGGAATATACTATCTTTTCTATTCAAACTATGTTATCTAATCAATTATGAATTATGTTTCATATATTTTACTCCCTCTGTCCCATTTTGCCTGTCCTGTTTACTATTCATTGGTCAATCCAACTCTTTCTTCGTTGCTTATTTTCTTTAGTAATTTTTAATTATTTTTAAATTTGATTTTTTATGTTTAATAGTACTTTTAATGTAGTTTCTAAATATATAAATTTTATATATTAAAAATAAACTTAATATTATAAAAAATTAAAGTAAAAATAGCTTCAGTCAAGCCTCGTTAACCGAACCAGACAAACAAAATGGGACGGAGGAAGTAATATTTTATAGCATTTCAAAGTGTTTTAAAATTTAACCCTACCCAAGTATAGTTTTTGCTCCGCCCTTAACTATCTTGTCGTCTATCATAAATATTATTGTATTATAATTTATAATGTATTTGAACCATATTATAGATGTTTGATATTTTTTCATTGATAATTCTAAAGTCGTAGCGAATTCTTCAGACAAAATTGTGGAAGATGCAATTTTTTCTTAGAAGTGAGATCTAGAGTTAAGTATGCCCCCACTAACATTATTTTCTGGGTCCGCCACCGTGTGTGTGTGTATATATATATATATATATATATATATATATATATATATATATATTATGTTTAATCACATTTATTAGTAAATTAAAGAGAAAATTTCAATTTTAGTCCACTGACTATTGCACTTGTGTTAATTGCAACACTTGACTTTCAAAAATGTTAATTTAGTACCTTAACTATGCAATTTCTATCAATTTTGGTCACGCCGGCCAAATTGCGGGCCAAATCTCACCGGAAAAACTTAACTCATTAAATAAAAAGCGCAAAAGTGTCATTTCATGTTATTTAAACCTCCTTTGGGCTTCCTTCTCTTCTCCGACATCCTTCCCCGCCGGCAAAAGTGTCTCCAGAAATCACCGCCGGCACCTATCACACAGTCTCAACCTCATAGAGCCGCCGGAAGCGCACAAGGTGGGAAAAACTAAAAATGAAATGGGAACATGAAAAGCAGCTTCAACCATGTCTCATCGAAGATGTTCCCGTTCCTACACGAACACCATGTTAACGTCGAGGAGGTTTCGAAACATTTGCCTAAAATCGCCGACGAGAAGGTTTCATACTTTCTGATAGATAACAATAGCGACAAGGTTGAAATCGATCGCAGCAGCGGCGCCGTTCGCCACTGTCTCATGCCAAAGACGATCCCCTTCCTCCACCGTAACGGTCCTCGCCATCTTCGCCGACAGGATGCTATCCAGAAGGTGTCCAACTACCGCTTACCGGAAAACAATCATGGCACCAAGGATTCAAATTCAAATCGTTTGACGGAGGAAAACAATCGCGACAGCGTTAGCCATATCCTACGGAAGTGGATCCAGTTCCTACACGAACACGATCTTAACAAAGAGAAGAAGCCGGAGAAGAAGGAAAGCACTCTCAGGAAACGCATGCGCAAGTTCTTAGGACAATATTTTGATTGTAGAACACCAATCGTATGCACGACGATAGCATGTGGATGGATACATCACATGCTCCATCTATCTCTCCAAGAACTGAAATCGAACCACCGGAGCCGGAATTCTCTGAGAATGACGATCCAATGGTTGACGTTATTTTTCCTCCGTCTCCAGCTATCACACAGGACCACCGATACAGGACCAGCTATCACCGTCGCAGGTTTAGTTGACTAAGATGATGTTTATGCAGACTGAAGAGGGCGGAAAAGAATGTTGGCACCGGAGGTGTTGAGGAAGAAGAAGAAGCAAATAATTTTTTAATTGTTTTTAACGTAAAATGACTGTTTTGTCCCCCTAAATAAAAAATTTAAAAATGTTTAAGTTTTTTCGGTGAGATTTGGCCGGCGTGACCAAAATTGATAGAAATTGCATAGTCAAGGTACTAAATTAACATTTTTGAAAGTCAAATGTTGCAATTAACACAAGTGCAATAGTCAGCGGACCAAAATTGAAATTTTTTGCGGATATTAAGTATCTAACATCTTAAAAAAAAAAATAATTTTTACTACTAAAGATTTATTTTTTAATAATAGTATGATCAAATTGATACTAAATTATTTCAAACCAAACAAATGACCATTTCATCATATAGAATAGGCACACAGTCATCAAATTGGGGAGAAAAACGAATATACACATTTGAAATATACACGTGCATGTATATGGGAAACATTTGATGCTAACTTCACTGATACAAATAAAATGTATTATAAATTGAATTTGAAATTTATGTCATTCATACATTATATAAAACGTGGAAAAACAATAACGGGAAAAAGATATATATATATATATATATATATATATATATATATATATATATATATATATATATATATAATACCTCCACATCTTCAAACACAAACTCTAACGTTGTTGTGGTGTAAGTATCTTGGTTGTTCTTCACCTTATACAGTCGAACCGTACCCTTATTAACCAAGCAGTACTATGTATGATTTATATATTAGTCTCAAAATCAATTAGATACAAATTATATTAATAATCTTATTATGTTGGTAATTATAAGTCTTCAAATCTATGAATTATATTTAATTATTTCGTTTTAATAATATTATACCTTAATTATAAAAATCATACTTAATAATTTTAGTAATACACGGGACCTAATAATTACCATAAATAATTTTTAGTAATTGTCAATTTATCTTAACAATTATATTTATAATTAACTATTATGGCAATTACTAAACATGCATATAAAAGTCCTACCTAATTACTAAAAAAGAAGTATAATCATTTATTTAAGGTCTTTAAATACTAATCTTAAATGACATCTTTATGCAATAATATTTATATTACTAAACTGTCCCTGAATTTGGACGTGAAAATCTCACAATTACTTATTATTATTATTATTATTATTATTATTATTATTATTATTATTATTATTATTATTATTATTATTATAATATATATACATCCTTTATATAATAAAGCTATATGGTTTGGGAAATAATTAATGTTACAATTAATGCCACAACATCCTTTATTATAAAAAATAAAAATAAAAAAAAACACAACATTTAAAAAATAAAATAGCTATATATTATATAATCATATAAAAAATATACTTTTGAAAAATAAAATAGCTATATATTATATAATCATATAAAAAATGTGTTCAATTAGAGTTTAAATTTACACATACAAAATTTGAAATTTGCTTTCCAAATGTAATTATGTTAGTTATTATTCGTATTGTGAAAATTATAATATAGATGAAATACAATTAAGAATAAATTAATGTAATTATGTAAATTCTCTCTATAAGTTTATTTGAATATGTATATAATTAGAGATTATATTAACCATACAAAATTTTAATTTTAATTTTAATTTTAATTGTAATTTTGTATTCTATAAAAATAATAAATACTTGACCAATGGAAGCTCAAAAATATTATTATATTAAATAATTTAAAATATTTTAGTTTTTCTATTTTTTATTTATATTTATAATAACATAATTTTTTCCCGTGCATCGCGCGGGTGAATTACTAGTGTGTGTGTGTATATATATATATATATATATATATATATATATATATTAGGAAAAATTACATTATTTGAATATTAAAATTATATTATTTAATATAATTTATATTCAGTACATAAATAATATATTTTTAATATATTAAAATGTACTTTTTTATGATCCCATAGCACCATGGTTCCACATAATAATTTGCCAAATTGTCCCTTTCTAACCTACACAACAATTATATCATGGACCATGGTCTAAAAAAGACACAGTTTCTTTATGTAAAGAAACGGCTGCCGTTATAGCTTAACGGAGCTCATAATTTTAGTGTGTTAATTACAAAATGAAACTACAGTGTATCTAAAATTAAATTGTCTCACATATTATTTTTTATATTATCAAATGAAACTGTAATTGAATTGAAATGAAACTTTAGTTGTGTTGAAATGAAAGTGCAGTGTATATAAAATGAAACTGAATAAAAGTTACACATATTTGAGTGTACATTGTCCAATGAAACTGTAGTTATATCGAAATGATATTATAGTTGTGTTGTAATGAAACTATATTGTATATAAAATGAAACTGAATAACAGTTTCACATATTTGAGTGTATAATGTCGAATGAAATTGTAGTTATATTGAAATGAAACTGTTGTTGTATTGAAATGAAATTGCAATGTATATTATCCAATGAAACTGTAGTTATATTGAATAATCGAAATAATACTGTAGTTGTGTTGTAATAAAACTA